TTACCTGTACCAACCTTAGATAATTATGAACCAGCTAGTGTTGACTTGCACTTTCAAACCCAATGTACATTCTTATACACTTATGAATTTAGATAGTTTCACATTGTATGTGCTTTTTATTTAAAGGCATATATTTTGTGGTACATGCAGTGCCCTGCAGAGGCCAATGGAACTTTCTTTTAATTTATCTTGCTTTTTATTGTACAGTGTATATTAAAGATAATAAAGTCATTTTATTCTTGAAATTTTGTTTGGTGTCTAAATTGTTTGTCAGTCATTTATGGTACTAAATAAAAATAAGAAACATGTGGATAATGATGTTTTGATCAAATTTGCTATCTTGAGCGAAAGTGTAAAAAAGTGATATTTTAATCAACTTTGTTTACCTTACTTAAAGTATGGAAAACTGCTATCATGGCAATATTTGCCATCCTGAGCAAAGATACAGAAGAACTGATATTTGATCAACTTTGCTACAATGGGGAAAAGTATGGGAAACTACTATTTTGATCATATCTGCCATCCTGAGCAAAATGGAGAATAAAGTGGTATTTGGCCAAATTTGCTACCCTGAGCAAAGATTCGGAAGAAGTGATAATTTGACCTCATTTACTACACTGGGCGATACACAAATAAGGTGAATTTTTGCTCAGATTTACTATCCTGGGCAAAACTGTTAAAAAATGAGTTTTCGTCACTTTTGCTACATTGAGCAAAAATGTGGCAAATTACTACTTTGACCGAATTTGCTATAGAGAGCAAAAGCATTCAAAAATTCATCTTCGATCGCTTTTGCCCATTTGGGCAAAAACCTGACAAATGTCAGTTTTGCTATCAAGTTTGACACCCCTGTAAATGCCTTGATAAAGTAAAGGTTATCCTTGTTTTTACACACGGGGCAAATTTGAGGCAAATTCGGCATTTACCACCCTTGCCACTAACGCAAAATTATGGCAAAGTTGGTCCTATGTCATGTGGCAAAATTGAGCAAAATTAAGCAAATGTGGCATTTGCAGATGATTTGCTCCAAATTTGCTATAGAGGTAAATCCGTTTTTTCGTCCAGTGCTGGTGCTTAGAGGAGCAAATATTTTTATATTACAATGTGACACGGTTCTGTATAATTATGATCTTGGCTTTGTTTGCTGCAATGCTTTTATTTCAGTCGCGCAAGGAATCTTTTAAGGATTGTGGTTTTCAACTCCTCTCCTTTCCTGGTGCTTATGGGAGCAAATATTTTTATATTACAATGTGACACGGTTCTGCATAATTATGATCTTGCCTTTGTTTGCTGCAATGCCTTTATTTCAGTCGCGCAAGGAATCTTTTAAGGATTGTGGTTTTCAACTCCTCTCCTTTCCTGGTGCTTATGGGAGCAAATATTTTTATATTACAATGTGACACGGTTCTGCATAATTATGATCTTGCCTTTGTTTGATGCAATGCCTTTATTTCAGTCGCGCAAGGAATCTTTTAAGGATTGTGGTTTCAACTCCTCTCCATTCCTGATGCTTAGGGGAGGAAATATTTTGTTTTCTAGAACAAACAATGTGCAGTGTAATCTACGACTTGCCAAGAATTCAGCAGTCTAACGCGTCAGTCAGAAAAACAAAAAGAAAAGAAAAAATAGCCACTCGAGGAAGAGGATGTGTTTTCAGTCTTTGTAACGTAGTTTAAGGTCGTTCAGTGGGTAACCTTTAATCTTTAATTCCTTCGGACCGAATCTGGGCTTCCGTAATGTACTGAACAGACCCTTAATTTGTTTTCATAAACGTGACGACTTCCTTTTTCAATCGTAACAGTGCCCATAAAGAAAAATTCCCAAAATTTCAAATTTCAAGTGTCTTTAAACAGCTCCGTTCCTGTTTTTGTTCATATGTGATCTAATTTATATTTTGCAAATAGTTTTAACTTTTTAATTGTCCTACTTTATACGTTTTATATTTTACATACCGTAAAATTCCGAAATGAGCCCCTCCAAATATAAGCTCCCCAAACTCGTAACGCAAAAAACCCTCCGTTAAATCGCCCCTCCAAATATAAGCCCCCCGGGGGCTTGTACTTGGAAAATTACCCTCAAATACAAAGTATAAAAGCAAAAACGGTATATTTACTTCCAACTATATGGCTAGCCCAATCGACTTTGAAACGCAACCTCTAGTTTGTAGCCAAAGCAACCTAGACGAACTGCTTAAACCTCAAGAACGCTGCGCTCGATTAATTTTGGATATTCCTCGGGGTACACGATCGTTTGATAATTTTCAAAAGCTTGAAGTGGCTACCAATTGATCAAATATTCAAGCTCAATTAACTCGGCCTTTTAAAGAAAGTTATTGAAATAAATAATTACAATCTTGGACTCACTTCGGTTTGAACACAAGTACTCTACCAAAACAAAAACATTATACCGCTTACCGAAACCCAGAACCAAAGCAATGAGGAAAACATTCTTCTATTCCACTTTTTAAAGAACTAAATGCTCTTAACTTAGAACCAACCACCTCCTTTAGCTTAATGAAGACAACACTGAGTAGTAACGTCGCCTCAAACTGTAGGGTGGACAATTTTAAAGTTAAAAAGTTTTTCAGATTTTTAAAAAGTCCGTGCTTTTTTAATATCATTGTAGACTGGATTCCCTTTTTTACCAATGTATTCACTTCGTTTTTTAACATCTCTCAACTTTTTTAAATCTGTAGAATTTTAAAGATCTTTTATTCTAATCACTATTTGTAAATAGGCTTTTTATCATGATTGTTGTAATTTTATTATTGTCAAGTTTGTTTTTAGAGGGCCACGAGGGAGAATACTAGAATTTTTAAGATCTTTTATTATAATTACTATTTGTAAATAGGCTTTTTATCACGATTGTTGTAATTTATTATTATCAATTTTGTTTTTAGAGGGCCACTAGGGAGAATACTTTTCATAGTAATTGGTGTCACCCTCTTAAAATTAAGTGTTTTCCTTTTCATGATGTTTTGTAATTCTATTTTCCACTTCTTGAATAAATACGTTAGCCCTACCAAAGAGGTTATATTTCAGGAGTACAATCATGAAAAGGATCTTGTTTACAGATGTAAAAGCTATTTACGAATGGCGAGAAATCTCACCATAAATTGATATAAGAGTTAAAGAGTAATGTTCATATGTTTCGAAGGAGAAACAAAAAGAAACGTTGAAGAAAAAGTACAAAGAAACGTTATCCAACCAGAGTAGGAGAAGCTACAAAACCCGGTAGTGTACATGTACTTTTATTCGACATAGGCAACCGACCGTTTTCATCTTCCGACGGTTATTTTGCAGACTATTAGGCCTTGCAGTAGCCTACTTCAGTCACACGTTTTACGTACCCCGCCGTTTTTCCGCATTAATCGTGGCAAAAGCGGTCCGTTGCGTGCCGGTAACCTGGTATTCCCAATTCATTTTGACGCACCTCTTACGTTGTGTTATCTGTTTATGTGCTTGGACACGACAAACATTAGAGACTTTTAGATTCGAAGACGTTGACATCCACGAGAACAAGGTTCGATTTAAAGTGGTTTCGTGTATATTCTCAAAATATGGACACCCCGGAAAGCGTAATTGGATTTTTTTTTTTTTGGCCAAAAACCTTAGCACGGTTAGTTTTACTTAATAAGGTTTTAACTTAAGATAGCTTGTTAATTTTCTTCACTACGATGTTTGAGACCTTTAGATTCGAAGACGACAGCAACAACGTGGACGAGATTTATCTTAAGTTTTCTCGCGTATTCTCACAAAATAGATACCCCACAAAGCCTAATTGTACTTCTTTCCGCCAGAAAAGTTGGCACCATTATTTTTATCGACGGAGGTTAAGCCCTCCCCCGATCTTAAAATGGTAACAGTTATAGCTTTTGATAACTTGTTTCCGCTGCTACCCGGCGACATTCTTGCTGGAACTCGGAGTACAATGACGGCGGCTATCACGTTTTCCCGCCAAAATGACGCTGGTTCACGCGCGTGCTTGCACTACATGTTATTGGGAAAACCTCGTACCCGTAGACTTCCTCATCGTAGAACCTAACGGTCTCTGTTATGTCTAGGCATAATGTTTAGCTTTATTTGACGTGCAGCAGCCGTCTATGACCTTTCATCTCTTTTCTTGTGGTTGCAGGTGTCTTGTAGCTATAGTTGAGCATCTTATTCCGAAAGACTACTACTCTAAAACGTTGGTTGCTTCCCAGGCTGATCAAAGAGTCCTCAAAGATTTACTCGCGGAAAAACTTCCCAGGCTCAACAATCATTTTGAGACTCTCTGGTATGTCGTTATATTGCCTTGACTTAAAACATTTCAGGCCATGTTACCCAAGCCAATTTGCTTATTATCCTGCAAATTTGGTGCCTTTTGAGAGTTCGTGAAAAAAATTGTAGTTGCGAGCCGGCAAAGCCGTTGAGGAGAATAGGGCGAACTCGCACAAGAATAGGGCGGACTCGCCCAAGAATAGAGCGGACTCGCACAAGAATAGGGCTAAGTCGCACAAGTGAGCTGCTCTCAGGCTAATTTGTTCTTGCAGCTTGTCTCTCAAAGTTGTGTTGTTGCGAGATAAATTGCGTGAGACTGTCAGGTTTAAGCGTAGTTGTGCAATGCATGGTTAGGAAATCCTTTAGACTACGAAACCGAGTATTTCTCCGGTCCCAGCCTATACACAGACGTTGCTTCATCTGATTTTTCTTTTATAAATTCCCCGATTTTTTAAATTTTTATCTCGAGCGCTCGGGGGACTTTTAAGAGGAAATAGAGGGTCTGTGAACAGGCTTCTCCGGCCCTGGGGTTTGAAGTCGCGACCTCCCGCTCAACAGCAGTCCAGCAACACTAGCAACTGAGCTAACCTTGCCACTGTTAAAAATCTAAACTAAAATATGACTACTAATTAATTTTTCTTACTGTTATCTTTTGTTTTTTACTGGCAGTGTTGATTTATCCTTAGTGTCGTTCAACTGGTTTTTAACCGTTTTTGTAGACAACTTTCCAGTACAGGTATGGTGTATTTCTTTTGCCATGACGACACAACACGGGGGGTACTTTAGGAATTTCTGGGTGGGGATGTGCCGCTAGGACCCTGAAACCCTTAACCTATTCCAGAGCTGGTTCACCTGAATTTTGCTACCCTATACCAGAGTAAACTCCCCAAATCCCCCCTATCTTAGAGTAGCTGTTTTCCAGAAACTAGTGAAGTCACTAGCACAGTAGTCTAGCCGAAACAAAACCCTATACCACAATCCCTAGTCTAGATAAAATCTTCAACCAACTGATCAGTTTCCTGAAAAATGATACCCTATTCTAGACCCAAACGTTCTGATTTATATACCCTATCCTAGAGTAAACTGCTTGAAAACCATACCTTTCACAGCGGGACAGACCTATATAGCCCATATATGGCAGTACCCCCCCCCCGGGCACAACACCCTTAGGGAATATTTGGACTCCTGACCGGTATATTAGGTGAAGTTTAATAAAAACTAGAAACAATTAATACAATCAAATTTATAGCGTGATCTTACCTGACCCGTGAAACCGAGAATAACAACTAGTGCAAAATAGCTACAAGTAAACAAAAGAAGACCATGGAATTAGTGCATAATAGCGCGTAGTATTCTACTACCTATTTCACGGGTTAAGTAAAATCACTCTTGTTACCCACTAAGGGCCTGTTTACATGGAGTGGGGGACCCCGGTCTAGTGGAGTTGATTTCTTTTGTTTTCACGCTCTGGGAGACACAAAACAAAAGAAACTTACCCTACTAGACCGGGGTCTCCCACTCCATGTAAACAGGGTCTAAGAGCCTGTGTACGTGGAGGTGGGGTACCCGAGATAGGTGAGGTAACCCGCTTAGGTAGGGTAACCCGCCTGTCCATAAAACTCTCATTTTAATGTGATCACGTTTACATGTTAGGTGCGGTAACCTGCCACATGTTACCTCACCTACCTGGGGTCCCCCACATTCATGTAAACAGGCCCTGGGGCCCTTTGTAATCGTCTTTTGAATTTTTAAAGTAAGGTCAAACTATCTCCAAGACCTATCTCGTTATTGCTTTTCGTGGTCGCTGCTTTTCAATTGATAAGAAGAATTGCTTGACTTCTGTCTTGCTTGTCACCACAACGTTAATCATTTCGTTATTTCCTAGACAACTCTACGAGTGTGGGACACTTTTCTTTTCGAGGGAAACAAGGTAAGTTGTACCACATCCTTTTGGCTCCCTATCTTGGTATAACGTAATTCCTCTTTTGCAAGGTTTTGTTCGAGGCCGGAGGCCGGACGTCACTGTCGTTTGTTTAGTATGGGAAGTCCGATGCTTCAACACAAAATATATATCTACCTGGATTTATGAAAACCGGGTTAGCAAACATTTTGTTGTTTATCTCAACTTCCACTGTCTTAGCTTGTATGCTGTGTTGTCTGTTGATGTCGGATCTTTTCTCGGTTGTTTCATAATTAGGGATTTGTGTAGAAGTGGCTGTAGACAGAATTTTGCGAATTTCTATCTACATATAGCTTCCGTAAACATTGGTGGTTGCCCTAATGAGTCACTCACGCATGATCTGGATTTGTTGAAAACTGTTTAATGACTGGAATCTTCTGAGAACAAACACCAGCCGACTGGTATTAATTAGCGCAATTCCTGATCGACATATTCAACTTTTTTGTGAACATTTTAATGGCACTATCCCGGTTAACCTCTACTTGTTCAGCGGACGGAGGAAATGGCGTTTTGGAGAGTTCAAATTCAAAAATTGCTCGCCCTCCCCACTCCCATCTCATAAAAGTTCGTTCCGTCGGCACTCACCGCTTTTGTCAAGTTTGAATCCCGTACTTTAAAATATTACTCCGCTGACCCGGCTTTTGAAAAAGCTTTGCTGGTAAAAGAAGCGCGGGGGACGCGCGAAAGCGAGCAAAAGAGTAGCTCCTTTTCACGCCATGCCCTCGCGCGTCCCCCGCGCTTCTCCCATTTCGCTAAAAGGAGACGGAAACTACTGCTACATAGGCTGGCGTTAACGTGATGCTAACCCTGCTGTGGTATTTGATCTTATTTCTCTCGATCTATTTTCCATTCAAGTTCAATTGTACCCCTTTTTACTAGTAATATGTGCTATTTCCAAAGTGGCCAGCACCCAAGCTTACATTTAAAGTCATAGTCTTATATCCCAATTGTTGTACTAGGTGCTTTTCCGATTTGCGCTAGCAGTCTTCAAGAGCACTGAGGAGGAGCTTCTAAAGTGTCACGATCACATGGGTATCTTCAATTTCCTGAGGCAAATGCCGGAGAAAATCACTGACGCCAACACCCTCAGCCAGGTTAATATATTTTGTTATTATGTGGCTGAATCCGCGAGCGGGCCAGATAAAGCAAATTCTGTATTCCGATTGGCTACCCGAGCGGGCATCATGGGCCCATGTTGCCAGCTCGGGATTTCCCGCGTATATGGCTGAATATTGGCCTCGTTCGTTTCTGCGTTTTTATTGCCCTCGACTTCGTCCAGGTCAATAAAAACGCAAAAAAAACTTGGCCAATATCCAGTCATCTTGACCTCACCCTTGGTCAATAACGCATGCGCTCTATGTCATATACAGGATACTTCATGGAAAGTGCGGGCGTACGGTATTTACGCACGAGTTGTTGACGACGTATCAGAAATCCAACGATTGAACACACCATTTTTTCTTTCTTTTTTTTTTTTTTTTTCTTAGATTGCCTTCCAGGTCCTAAATCCCTTCCCGATGAAGATGATAAGAACGAAGCGTGCCTATCACCTGGAAGTCGTCAAGGTGATAATAACACTATTATTGTAATTGCTTTAATCAGTTTGAGGAGAACCTTTTGGAACTGAAATGTTTTAATGTCACCTAACTTTAAAGGCTTGAAATAAGGACCGGTCAACTGATCTTAGTAGGCTGATTTAGCAACAGGACGGGGGCGTCAGTTGACGTCGGAAAAGTGCGCGGAAAGGACTGAACACGACTTCCGGTGGCCAGTTTTCCGCTCTGCCATTGGTCAAGCCAGTTGTTTGATTTGCGGGCGCCGTCGTCAACTGACGTTCCCGTTCTGTTGCTAAATCAGCCTAGTGAGTTTACGCAGCAGGACGGCAGGAAGGAGAGGACGGCAAATCGCTTGTGCGTGACGAACGTAACTAGGCTATTACTTGTCTGTTTTGTCGTGATCTTCACTAACATCAATGTTCCCTGGTCTTTTACAAGAAGATCCGTTTAAAGGAAAATGAAGTTTGTGCCAAAAGTTATTTCAAACAAAATTATTGTCATGCTTGTCACACAAGGTTTGCCGTCTTCCTTCCTCTCCCGTCGTTTTGCGCAAGTTCGCTAACATTTTGACGTCATTTGAACGGTGGGTAAGAGTACAGGCCATGGAAAGTTGGTGTCGATTTGTCAAATAGCACCATCCATTGGGTTAGCGGAGGCAATTTCGCTGTCAGAAGATGGAAAGGCCCAGAAACTTTTCGGGCCCGAACTGGAAGGTACCCTGGGTGCCAGAGGCTTTTCATGCGCGGTTTACGGTTTCAGTCAAGTCAAACTCACAAACCAGTCAATTTCGCTTCGTTAAACCTTTGCAGCACTCGTCATTCTTCCCTCTTTTTTGCACATCAGCCGTTCGTACAACGTGATTCTTCTCTTAAAATCTCTTTTCCGTACGTTAGTCCGTTCTTGTTATAGTGTTTTTGTCGTCATCTACTTACGTCACTGACCGCTTAATATGGGTTGACAGTGTATACAGGTCAGTTGACAAGCCTAAAGATAAGTCAAGGAAATAACTGACTTCAAGAGGGGTATCCGGGTTAGGATAAGGCGAATTAACCTCAAAGCCGAGTTCTCTGTCTCTCTCGCTTTTCTTAAAGAAAAGAAAGAAAAGACAATTATTACATTGTAAATGGTATTGACCTTCACTGGGACACGATGGTCGGTTGCTAGGGCTTTTCCTCCCGCAACTTCGTAAATTCAATTTTTGGCTCACAGAGCAGTATTTTATATTCCAAATGAAGCAAGACATTAAAACATCTTAATTAGAGAAAAATTTTCTTCAAAATTTTTACCATTGTAAAGGTATTTTGACGTTTCTTAAAAGTATGACGTCATAAGAGACGCCTATTTTTAGTAACAACATTAAAAACTTGCAAAGCAGTGTTCAAAACATTACAGACATTTTTGCTACACAAAAACAATATGTATAGTGAAAACCCCACCTCAATCGGATAAAATGGCGTAAAGTTACAGCTAGTAAAAGAAATCAAATTTCCCCCCACATGACCATATATGGTCAAAATTAGGGGGATTTTAAACGCGAGAACAATGAATGTATTGTAACAGAAGCAAGGAAAAAGTTGCATAAAATCAAAATTGTAGTTTTTTCTACTTACTTTTTTTTACTTATGTGCTGCTATGACGCGTTTACGTCACGAAATACGTCATTGTGACGTCAAAATGACGTATTTCGAGACGAAAAACGTGTCATAGCACCACATACCCTAAGCAGAAAAAACTACAATTTTGATTTTAAGTAACTTTGTCCTTGCTCCTGTTCCAATACATTCAATGTTCTCGCGTTTAAAATACCCCTAATTTTGACCATATATGGTCATTTGGGGGAAATTTGAATTTCTTTAATTAGCTGTAACTTTGCTCCTTTTTATCCGGTTGAGATGGGGTTTTCACTAAAAATCATAGAATTCTATACAGGAAACTAAAGTAAAATTTTTACCATTTCTTTCCTGAATTTTTGTTCGGATGCCAAATTTGGACATCATTTATGACGTCACAACAGAAGTCACATGAGATGAAAGAAAAACCAATAAACAGGTAATTTATCAAACTACTTCCCTGCCAAGTTTCGTCACATTCAATGCATTCTACTTCTGTCTATGGTCTAATACTCTCAGTTTTGAGAGACATTGGGAGGAAAAGCCCTAGCAACCGACCACCGTGGGAAGATAGACGTCGTTTTACTCTCTAATGGATTCTTTCTTTCTCCTTCTGTTTGCAGCCTGAGCTTGCTGATTTAGACAAACTCCGCGAGGAGTATGTCACCAGCAAAGCCGATGAACCTGAATCCAGAGACGGGGACATGCTCGGTGAAGACTGAAGCCTGGGAACTAGTCCATGCACAATAAGACTGCAAGCCAATAACTTACGGCTTGCAGGAAGATATCTTTCTTATGACCTAGATTGATCTCCCAGAAGTTGAAGTTGTTCCTATAATGCTTGTCTTGACTAAAGAAAATACTGAAAGCGAGCGACGTCAAAGAAAATTGTTGCTATTTGTCCGTTCGCGTTTCCTAGAACAGCCAGACGTCGTGCGTGTTTGTCTCGCGTGTTTTCACGCTCCTCGTTTTCACCTTCGCGTAACAAATCCGTGAATTGTTGGTTATGTTCACTGGTTAAACGAAATTCATTCTTTGAATAACGCTTTGTCGTGACTGTAAATACTGCGTGTTGCATTTAAATTTGATTTGCTTTTTAACAATTCGAAAAAAAACTAATTAAATTAGATAAATTCTTATTCCATTGAACTGAAGAAAAGGGAACCTTGTCAACCTTCATTCTGATTCACATTCTGATTCACATATGAAAATAACTTTGAATAGTTTGAAATTTATTGCTTGGCGTGTTTTTATTTTCATCATTATCATCATCATCATCATTATCATCTTGTTAGACTTAGAGATCAGATCTTTCCAAAGAGATAATGTAAGTGTTTTTACGTCAACGTTTTCTTTTCCTGCAAGCTTAAACAGTTCGGACGCACCTTCCCGCTCCTGATTTTTTTTTTCTTGTCGTGAAAAGTTAAATATTACTGCCGGTAAACTTGATTATTAAAATCGCAGCCTCATTGCGTGTACAATGGATCAATGCGGGGTACCTCAAGGCTCTATCCTTACACTCTTCCTGTACCTACGTTGACTACGTTTTACTAGTGCATCACTGGCTAACGTTCTGCGATATTATAAAATGCAATTTCATTTCTTCACGGATGATACTCAACTATACGTGAATTAGCCAATATTATGGCTAAAATTCAGGATTGCCTGTCTGATTTTGGTCAGCGCATTTCCTCTCTATCTCTTTTCGAAACACTCCCCACTACAGCTTCTACCAATACTTCGCTTTGAAAAAGATGTCATTCATGCAACCATCTCAGTCTGCCAGAAATATCGGTGTCATTTTTAACAGTACTACGCTGTTTGTCATTTGATATCATTTCATGCCGTGAAAAGGCTTCAAAATGTTCAGAATGCTGCTGCCCGCCTCATGATTACGTGCTCCCGTAGATACGATCAGATCACTCCAATTCTGTCCTATCGTTACTGGCTTCATGTTTCGGAGCGCATTGAATGTTAGTTAGCGTCCATTGCTCACCTTTAAGGGTCTACCCCAACATTCTCCTTCTTATATTCAAGATTTAGTATTTCGCCACACCCAGTCAAGAAACATCCGCACGGGGTCCCGGCAGAAATTTTTATCTTGCAATTTTTTTGGTGTGACCAATGAAATCATGGTTAGATGGAAGTAATATCAACAGATGGAAATGGACAGTTCTTTATTTTTCGAGAAAATAACCATTCCATTCGCTTTTGACCTCATAAAATCATTATCAAGTCACGTTTACCCCTATGCTTGTCCAAAAGGGACAATTTATATACATCAGTTGCTTTGTATAGGGTTCTTAAAAAATGCTTGACATTTTGTATCATGCGCCATTTTTTCCCAATTTAAGCAAGCCTGTCATAATCTTGATGTATACATGTATGTGGATCTTGATGCGTATACGTCTTTAAAATTGTACTTAACTATTTTATCATGTAAGTGCTTATTTTGATGTAAAATATGAGGAAGGTGATAAATATTGCAATTCAATGTGAGATGTGATGCACTCGTATGCGAATCTTGGTATGCTTGTGTAAATCTTGATATTGTTTCAGACGAATTTACATCTTGACATAGCCAAACTACTCTGTCTCTTCCGCACAAGCATACACTCCGTTTTCCGGGCATTTGGAAAGTCACGCATTTGGTCACGCGGTGCTCCCATCGCACGGCCGAGACGACAACACTAATTGAATGATGGCTCGAATACTTTTGATTGTCGTAGTTTTAACACGTCTTGTGTGCTTTTTACATGTGAACAACAATGCTTTTCCAAAAAATAAAAATCTAATTCCATAATGTTAGATAAAAAGTACGTTAATTCCGTGTGCGAAACGGAATAAATCAGGGCCACACCCCCACCAAGAATTCCCAGGAGTACCACAGAGTCACACATCTAGTCACATGCTCCATTGCACTCGGACTACACAACGGCACATAGCAAGATGGCTCGAATACTTTTGATTCTCGCAATTTTAATACCTGTTGTGTGCTTCTTACTTGTGAAATATCAGGATGCAGATTTTGTGCTCATGATTTACGAAGTGATAGGTGAAAATCCTGCTGTAGTGTTGCGCGGCAAAGTTGTGTGGATCACAGGAGCTTCCAGCGGCATTGGTGAATATCTAGCTTACGAACTGGCTAAATGTGGGTGTAAGTTGGTGCTTTCTGCACGAAGGAAAGTTGAATTAGAGAGAGTCAAGAAAAACTGTGCAGGTAGGACTACCACCTTATGAAACAAATTTGAGTGTAACTGTTTGGTGACGGTGATCCGCACTGGGTTAAATATACTAAATGCCCGGCAGTCAGAAATTCACGTCCATTTTGCACGAAATATCTCATTTAATTTGTGTAATAACATCAGGAAGTTGTTTACAAAAATCAAGCGATTTCAAACACTGCTTTGAGCTTGACATAGAGGCAACCGTCGAGCCTGGGCATAGAGTGAAATCTTTATAGTTTCGACGCTTCAAAAATTTGCGTCACGCAACTGTAGCGCTACACCGGAAATTGAAGGGCACTCTTCTGCCGAATCGACAAATTGAAGTCAGAGGAACATTGCTAGAGGATATCTGGTAAGACTATAGACTCTTTATAATTTTACGCAGAAATCGAGTAGACTCAGCAGATGCTGAGAAAGATTTTCGTGAAAGTACAGTGAGAATTTCCGACTGCCGGGCATCTAGTATTTTGAAAAGCGTACCCGTGTACCCGTGAGTGAAGATTCTAAAGAATATGCTTAATGCAAGCTCGGAGAATTTGTCCAATACAATACGAAACCTTTATTGAGAATCGCTTGGCATTTCTGAACAAACACTAAATACCCTGGTGAGGTTTCGTTGATAATTTCTGTGGATTTTCATCGCGAGTTGACTCAGTGTGTCAGAACTTGAATATTTTCTATAGGTGTCAAAAACATTCACTCTATGCCCACGCTCGACAGTCGCTTCTACTTTTAACCCAAGGCAATATTTACAATCGCTTGAGATTCCTAAAGAAATATCTTGTGTTCTTAGCGGAACTAAACCAGCTATTCCGAGAAAATTGGTCAAAATTTCTGACTGCCGGATATAACTGAGTTCCTGGCTGCAGGGTATCTGTCTCTTTCCCAGTTTCCTCTCATCAATTGTACCCGGGCGGTCGCGGGAGACTAGCACGGTATCTTGGTGTGAATACCCCTTCTAGGCCGTTTATTTCTTTCTTTATTTTTTGTTTCTTAATACAAGGCCATGACGATTTTTCCACCACCACCTTTGAAAAAACAAATTGGTTTGAATTGTCAAGAGCTTTGTATCTTTGTATCTTGTCCAGCCACAGATAAGGGACCCGTCATTATTTATTGCCTAAGTGGGGGGGGGGAAGACACGCAGAGAATTTTGGTGGGGATCAGTCGTAACTGAGAACCCAAAAGAGGGGATCACTGAGATCACTGAAAACTTTGGAAGGATTCAGAGGGGGGACCACTCAAATTTGCTTGGAAAATGAAGACATCGCGGGTTGGGGGGATTGCGAAGGTCATCAAATGTTTTAGGGGGATCACTTTAGTGAAGTAGCATTCAGAGGAGGGACCGGCTAAATTTCACCTTCTTTTAGCCCCAAATCCTCCGCCCCCCCCCCCCTTCCGTGATAAATAACGACTGGTCCCCAAAAAGGAAGGGGTGAAAGGGGTTTTGGTGTGATACGGGATTAAGTACGGAATTCGGTGTTTTTTAACCTTCGTAAATGGTGAAAATACGAAATTTCTGTGAAACGTGAAAATAGAATTTTAGTCACCGTGATGCATTATTTCTACCTTTCAATGTCCGTGAAATGTGCACAGTATCACCCTTGCCCCCCCCCCCCCCTCAATTCTGTATGAAAGAGTATTCGAATTTTGTTATTCTCGGCCTTAACAATCTCTTTGTAATACGAATTTGGGCATCAGTGTTTGTGACCCTCTCTAAGACAAATTTACTCGCCCACTATAATTGAAATCAAAGTTTACCAGGCTATAATGGACAAGTAAAACCAGTTAAAGTTGTATCCCCTCTAGACAGAGGGGGCAAAAAACGTACCCTGTCCAGCGGCGAGTGTATAGGTGAAGTACCCCTCCTTGGGAGACCCTGAAGTCTTAATATCGTCTGAAAACATTGAAAAGTAGCAAACATTTTTATCTATGTTCTGAGCTCGATCTTGTTATGTCTTTCCCACCAGCAATTTCACTTGCCATTGATCCATCGTTTAATCAAGATCAAGATATTCTAGTTCTTCCTCTGGACTTGCTGAAATATGACACTCATGAAAAACTTGGACAAGATGTCCTCAACCATTTTGGAAAGGTAACAAGTGACAAGTCATAGGGCTTTAAATGGGATCATTATACTTCTCTGGGAAACTGCCCACCTACCCTTCCCCTAAGCCCAAATTTGCCCTAAGTGACAACTAAGTGTTAATGTTGAATTAGGGGAGGGGTAGGTGGGTAGTTTCCCAGAAACGTATAAGGGATCCCGAAATCTGGGAAATTTTGTCGTGCGGAATCCGGAATCTTGGGCTTTTGAAATCCAGAACACACCCCAAGGAATCAGGAATCCCGGCCAATAATGATTGGAATCTGGAATCCAAGTTCCACGAACAAACAATTTGGAATCCACTACTTGAAATCCGGAACCCATGGTTGCATAGAATCCAGAGGCCAAGACTGCCTGTAATCCCTTACGCGGGGTGAAAATTGGGCTGATCGGTGGACAAATTATGACCATTTGAGGGTACTGACAGTCACAAAGGTCATTACCAGTGCTCCCCCCCTTATTTATAGACCAAGATGAGGCCCGAAGGGCCGAAAAAAATTTTTTTTTGAGGCCGCCCCCCCCCGCTTATCTCAGGGTCTGGAGATCAGCTCTATCAGTAGGGGTCTCTCACGGCAAGAAAAAAAGAAGGGGAAAGAGAGAGACTTCTGCCGGCCTCTTTCTACAGAAAGAGAGTTACGGCTCATTTTAAAAAGAGACAAAAAAGTGATAGGCCGCACACTCGATAAGAGGAGATGAAAATTTACATCTCTGGGAGCTCTAGCCTTAGGGCAAAAGCCGCCATGTTTTAATGTGCGCGCGCACAAAGGGATATATATTGCAAACGCTTTCCAAATTTGGTCAACGTTAGATGGTTATAAAGTGTTAGCAGAAGGATTTGAGCCAATCGGATGTAGCAGCGTTCCACGCGATTTTACAGCCTCTTGCTTCCTTTTCAGGTTGATATTTTGGTTAATAATGGTGGGCGGACACAAGTTAGTTTAATAAGAAAGACTTCACTGGAGGTTGAGAGAGCTGTTCTGGGTTTAAATACTGTTGGTACCATTTCCTTGACGAAAGCAGTTCTTCCTCACATGATCAAACGCCGTGAAGGACAGATTGTCTTTGTGAGCAGCATTTTCGGAAAGTTTGGTAATCTTGATTTTTCAGTATATTAGGCAGCTAACGCAACCTCGACAACGAGAACGGCAAAACAGCAGTAGGTTTAGATTTGCAAAACAACAACTTTTCACGTGCATCACGCTTTTGTGTATATTTCTTTGCCGTCGTTGTACGAGCACGACTAAGACCCTGTTTACATGGAGTGGGGGACCCCGGTCTAGTGGGGTAAGTTTCTTTTGTTTTGTGTCCCCCAGAGCGTGAAAACAAAAGAAACCAACCCCACTAGACCGGGGTCCCCCACTCCATGTAAACAGGCCCTTTGGAGGTGGGGGACGCAAGGTAGGTGAGGTAAGATGAGGCGGGTCACCCCGCCTGTAATGTAAATGCGATTAAATTAGAATGAGAGATAAAATGGACTGGCGGGTTACCCCACCTAAGAGGGTAACCTCGCCTTCCTTAGCCTGCGTGAAAGCCCTCCGGGGCTGCTCTGGCGGCAGGTTGGGAAAAAGAAGGAGAGCTTGCAACTACGTCCCTGGAATTCGAATTCCACCTCCAATTCCCCTGTGGCTGTCCATTGACTGAGCTGTCAGATTCCCGCCAATCAGCGCAAAGCGAAAACGAGCGCGAATGTAAACAATGATTAAAAACACGTGCCAAGAGTAATGACGTCATTACTAATGTCATCTCCGCCAATCAGCATTTCGCATCGACTTTTTTCGATGCAGATATTCAAATTCCAGAGACGTAGTTGCAAGCTCTCCTTTCTTTTCCAGCCCCGCCGCCAGAGAGCTTGATCTCATGCTACGCCTACTTGGGGTCCCCCCAGCTCCATGTGGACAGACCCTAAGACTGCGTAATTTCACGTTTTTTGGAGGTCGTGAGCATAATACAACGATTTTCTAAGGAATCTGGATATTTTTTTGAAACCACCTACTTTTTTACACGAATCGGCTGCACGAAAGCGCTGAATCCGGTCACCGAAACCGCATTGTTTTGAAACCGTTCCCGCCAGAGCAGTTTAAGATCCCATTCACACGAATCGGGAGGAAAAGTATGCGGTTTCAAAAAATGTCCGGATCATACAGACGGGCACCCAACGTCAATCTTCGGAAAATAGCTGTTCGAAAGACGATTTGAGATCGAGAATTTTCGGAACATTTGTTGTAAAATTTCTTGCTTGCCTGCCTCTCCTAGGATTTTCGAACATCTAAAAAATGGTATAATTGCCCATTTTTAACGGATTTTTACCGTAAAAAGGTCAGCTAGAAGTTTCGGGAGTTTTTTTTCTGGCTGAAATTTTCGAAAAGGTAAGTTTTGATCCCTATGATTTTCGGATCACTAGACTTCCAGCTGGGAAATCCGAACAGATGAAAAATTATTAGGCGATAAAAATATGCCTATATCTACCGTTTAAGTACTAAAATACGTTTAACAATGCTATGTTTAAGTGGTTTTGGACTATATTCTCGTTGGGTGCCCCTGCACAAACAAATACAGTCTTTTAAAAGTCAACTCCAGAAAAGTTGAACGGCATGAATAAGTGAGATGAATTTTGAAACAGCGTAAATTCACTAATATTTTCAAAAAGGTTTTTCTCCACCGTCGTCGTCGACCTTGTTTCGTTGCTTAATATTCTTATTAACTCACAACAAGAAAGGATTTTTCCTCAGTTCTTGCTCACAAGGCGACGGAAATACTTAAAAGCTTTAAGAGCCTGAAGCTCAAATCACATGAGCCTTCCTTGCTTACCCAATAGAAAACCTCATTGTTGAGTGAGGAATTTCACCATAAATCAAAGCTTCGTAATAATTTTCAATTGATGTTTTTTGCAATTAAGATTTGGTGCCAGAATCTTCAGTGGGTGACAAATTAGAATAACAAGACATCAAAAATGTGCGTTCCAAAGAAAAGAGTACAGTCGCCCAAAATTGGCGTAAGTTATGTCCACAATTATTAATTATAGTGCTTGTCCAAGTTCAAGACATAAAATTACTATCAAAGGAAGTAAGAAGATTGTATCAATTTGAAAGGAATCAGTTTCCCTAAATTATTTGATTCATTACATATTTTTTGAACGAACTTTGTAATCTAAAAAGATAGTAGTGTAATCATAACTATTTTTTTAACTATAATCTTCTGATTACCTTTCTCAGGCTGAATTTTAAAATGTTTTACATCTTGTGTTGTTAAAACAAAGTTTTACATTTTTTTCCCCTCAGGGTTTCCTTATCATAGTACATACAGTGCTAGTAAACACGCATTGCACGTACGTATATATTTACTGCTTATTTATTTTGCGTGTTTATGCTCCTGTTGATCCTGATTTTGCAGATATCTTGATAGTTTTATTTTGAGATGGTTTAATGTCATGCTCATTTTAATAGTTGGCTTAAAATCCGAGAACAGCGACGGCGGAGAAGACGACACTTAAAAAGGGATTTCGCGTTTATTCAATCTCCACTTAGAGCTCGAACTACTTAGACCCCGTCTATGTGAACAAAAGTTGTCGCGGGAAAGAGGGTCACCGCCCTCCCTGCCGAGTCAACTTACTCTAGCTTATATATGAAAAAAAAGTTGACCCTTTGCCCGAGCCAACAGCGCTCGCGCATGCTCAGGATTGTCTCGCCTTGACCGAGCTGACCTGGCTGGGTGAGCCCAAAGTGTTTGTATGGAGAAACGTTGGCCCGGCTAGGAGGATGCCCGTACGTACCATCTAAAAGCGGTTACCCAGCTAGGTAGGCGGGCTACCCTTCTACCGAGTCAATTGCGCTAGCATTATCCACCTTTTTGAAAAATTGGGGCCAGATGTATATTAATTGAAAAGTCTTTGGCTTCAGTCTTCAGTTAGGTTTGACCTTCCAATTTTGTTTCTTACAAGCTTATGTTATAGAAACGTCTCAAAGTTCATTGAAATTAATAATCAGATATAATCTTGAGATAATAATTTAATGATTTAAAAATTTTCATGACGTGATGATCAACTGCGCATTACAGAGATGTATAGAATACATATGTAAAAGTTACATCAAGTTTCAAAGTTAAAAAAGAGACAAATAAATGACTAATTAAAAGTAACAAAATTTCATCGTGCATCAATCAAACCTAAGAAAAAGCCTCGCAAAAAAATTGCTTTTAAATAAAGAGGTTTTTTTAAATGGTTAACAGATTTGGCTGTCCTGATTTTAATAGGTAGACTGTTCCAAACCTTAGGTGCCGCGGCAATTGCTTAGGCAAAATCCAATCACCTATTTCCTAGGCACCCCTTTATTTACTGTTTACGTAAAAATACAAAAATGCATGCTTTCCTGTTCATATCAGTGCGATTTATTTCTTCACTAGGGTTACTTTGACACAGCTCGCCTTGAGTTGGCGGAGTACAACATTGGCGTGCAGATCGTCTGTCCAGGACCTGTCATGTCGGACGTATTAAAGAACGCCTTTACTGAAGACATCAACAGGGTAATAAGCGGTTTTTGAATAGAAATGAATCCAGATTCCGGAATCCAGTAAATTTTTGCTGTGGAATCTGGAATCCTGGGCATTAGAATCCGGAATAACGTTCAAATTCCACGCACAAAGAACCCAGAATCCAGTACCTGGAATCCAGAATCCAATGTTTTGGATTCCCTTACTTGGGGTAACTGGGAGATAAAACTGACTGATCGCGTTCGTCAGAACGCATCCTAATCTTGTGTTCCTGTCACGGGCGACTGCAAATTAGCCGCCCCTATTAATCTCGGCCGGGAAACTGGACCCCTTTCGACTCGAGTGACGAACGCGGATCCGTAATCAATGATTACCTCTAGTTTACAGTTGAAACGGGAAAGGGAAAGGGAAATCAAGAAGCCTAAATGCCCGTGATACAGAAGTGTTCGTATTATTATTATGTAGAGAATATTGTGAAGCTTGGCCGATATCTTTGACTGAACCTGAATTGTCCAGTCCTGTTCTGCATGTTGTTGGGTATATAAATTGTTTGATTTTTATGGTTTTTTGAGAGAAGAGGAAACTGCAATTAATCGCAATAGACCTTTCCACGTTTTTTTTTTTAACTTTTGACATGGACAAGTTAGGGAAAATCCGTCGACCCCGCTGGTAAGAGCGCCTTTAAATTAGAAAAACTGCTAATTTTGGAAGTGATTTGTTGAAAACTAACGAAGATATATATAGGTCCGCAAAGTTGTGAAAATTTACAAACCTTTGTATTGTGGTGGGATGTAAATGTGAAGTTCGCAGATTTTTTGGAGCTATATCTAGCTTCGCTCGCTTAAGACACTTCACTTTGAAACTTGGCAATATTACTAGTTTTAAGGAGCCTCAAAGCTCCTCAAGGTGACGGATTTTCCCTAACTGATCGATGTCAAACGTTGAAAAAACCGTGGAAGGGTAAAATCAAAATAGAGTCATTACGCCTCACCGACCTACAATGTACCCTAAATACAATCATCGATCATAATAACGTAACGCTGAACTTAATTTAAAACTCTGAAACAACAGCACGGAACAATAATCATTTGTCTTCCTTCTTCTGTTTAGTGAAGTGCCTCAGCATATTTTTTGTTTAAATTTCAGCCTCTTAATGGTTCAAACCTTATGGAGAGAATGCCATATATGTCAACTGAACGCTGTGCAAAGTTGATGGCTGTAAGCATGGCCAACAATTTGGATGAAGTCTGGATATCAAAGCATTCACCTCTTGCATCAACCTATTTAAGCCAGTACTCTCCAAACTTCTTTAGATGGTATATTTTGTTTAGTGTACTTAACAATTATTCCTCGAGCCCGAAAGGGCTCTGAGTCAATAGCCCATGAGGCCGAAGGCCGAATGAGCTATTGACTCAGAGGCCATGAGGGCGAGAGGAAAAATTGTTTTAGTGAAATCCAACTAGTTGGTAAAAAAATATCGAGACGAAACAGCTTTAGCTAGTTAAAGCTAGACTTTAATCCTTTTTCGCCGCCAAAAAGCCGGCGCTATTCGCTACGAGTGGGCTATAACATATAGCCTAGTGGTAGCTCAAACAATCAGAACGCAGCATTGATAATAGACCACTAGCTGGATTTTACTAAAACAACAATATTGAACTTTAAAAGATAAACACTGGTTCCATAACAATAACGGGCCCGTCTCTTTTACCAAGAAATTCCGGTTGGGGTGTAAATGGAGCAGACGCACACACGTTTTTTAGGCGTTCCTCGGGAAAATTCTCGGTAAATAGTGAGAATTTGAAAAGGTAGTCCTGTCTTCCCGGTGGGAATTTATCCGGGAGAAATGCGTGTTCCACTTATGACTTTTCACAACAATTCTCCACCATGTTGAATTTGGCCGAGAGAGGTGAATTACTTTCTTTACCCGATGGACGTTTTCGTCGCATTTCCGGACATTTTTGGCGAAAAAACAAAATGGAAAACACCCAACAACTCTGCACGTGCATCACACTTCTTCGTCTACTTCTTTTACATTCACTGCACGACTACGACGTGAAACGTCTTAATGCCCGGTCTGATGGACTGGAGGACGTCAACGAACGACGACGATTTTTTTCTCTCTTTTTCTTTATAAATTTGGATGAGTCCTTTAGTATCCAATTGCCCAAAAAATTCGCCCGGACACGCTGAGCGAGGCTAAATAAACGCGATAGAGTTTTAAAGAATCAAAATTCATTTTTACGTGAGTTTTTCACTGCCGTTGTCGTAAAGGTAGCTAATAACCTCCCTGATAACCCCATCATCGATATCGCAGCATTAATGACACAATTAGCCATCTAGTCTGTTGTTCACTTTTTTCAAACGACGAATGCAGTTTGATTATGTTATCGATGTTGCTCATATGGTAACTAACACCTCCTTTGTCTTTTTCTACATTCAGGATTTCGAAGAAGTCTGCTATGAAGGTGACAGCAGAGATCTATGGTGACTCCCAGAGGATAAAGCATGAATAGTACCTCTTAAAGACGGGGGGCTCTTAATGACTCCCCCCACCAAAAAAGTTAAAGATTATGAATGTGTTAGCCAACTCCACAATTTTATCAGACACCCTACTATACTTTAAGTATTTTTCGCTTTATAGTAGCCTGTTCTAGGCTCCAAAAATGTATCGCGAAAAGTTACGCGAAAACCGGTATACCTCATTCCGGTGTACGAGCTCCTGGTATACCCTATGATTGGTGAATGGCGACAGTATACCTCAACACTTACGTCAGTCATTTGGTTTCGCGCGCAGAGTCTAGCAAACATGTCGAGCATGTGAATCCCTACTACACCACACTTTTTGACGTTTGACATTTTGAAGCAAGGAACTGTTTTTTACGATGTGGTGGTTGGGGGGGGGGGGGGGGAGGAGGTAGTCTGCGCGGATTGAGCTATTTGAAAAGATGCTTACAGGCTCTCCCCTTCTCTCTTTCCGCCGCTTTTCGCTCGTTCGTTTTTTCACCGCTCGCTCGTTTTGTTCGCTCTGCCGCACTGACCGAGAACTTGGCACAGGGTACTTTATAGCTACTTTAAAAGGAATTTGGATTCTGTCGATAAATCCAGCCGGAAACAATGTGACGTCATGATGACGACACACCATGTCATTGTGTCAATCAAGTTATGCTTAGATGTTGGAAATGATGAGTACATTATACTTCTACACTCGCCCTGGCATGCAGGCCCTCATCTCACCCCAAACTACAGTGATGTGACAGTTGCGATGAACCCATGTACCCTACCGTATAAAGTACCGATCAGCACATCGTCAAAAAGCTACAATCTGTACGGAATGCTGCTGCTTTCCTCAGTACAGTCTGCCGCAAATACGACCACATCACTCTAATTTACTTTCCGTTCTGCACAAACTTCTTGTTTCCTAGAGCTTTTTTTGCTCACCTCTGCACACGAACAGTCTCCTACCTACATTCAAGATTAAGTAACTCGCTACACACCGCCACGATAACATGAACGGCCCCTAACTCTCTAACTTTTCTCGGACTCCCGGCGGTCCCAGGTTCGAGTCCCGCTCTGGCCACTTGCTGGATTTGTTCTCAGTCGTCCCGAGTTCCCGCTCGGCCACGCTTGTAAATAACCAACTGGATGCCTCCTGCTGGTTGGGGTTTGTAATCCTGTTATTAAGTTGTATTTGAATTATTTGTTTCAAAGTTTTTGAGTGGAGTGCCTGTAAACTAGCTAGATAAGCTAAGTACACTTTCCACAATTAACAAGCCTTTAAATCGCCTATTTTGGCGCAAACCAGGTTATGAGCCGCTGAACAGGGTATGGTTTTCAGGCTCATGTGTCTTAAACACGATCAGTACAATTTCGAACAGCGTGTCTTTTTGGACCGGAGGCCTTTAAAAGAGTGTAGGTTGGCGATGAATGGTCTAAATATGTGGTACCAACAATATTTATCCAAAAAATCTAATTCCATGATGTTTGTTTGAAAAATTACCTAGTAATACTGTGTGCAAAACGAAACGAATCAGAGTAAAAAAAGGTCTCTTGTCTTAACGAAGGTCTCAATGGGGTTTATCGTCAGCCGTCAAAGGGCCTAAAAATCAACCGTCAAAAAAGGCCAAGTTATTTTTAACCGTCTACTGTCAAAAATGCAGGTTTATATTAACCGTCAAAAGTTTCAAAGTGTTTCAAATCTCACTATTTCAGCTGATCTCCACAGAATTCTTAATTCCGGCTCCTAGAGAATGTCTATCCTGCAAAAAAAACTTCCCGTGTTCTCAAAAACACTCTTTCTAGACATTACAATACCTAACAAGCTGCTTATCTCTAAAAATATTTCAAAATTCTATAAGTGGAAGGCCAAGACAACCTTCAAAACACAACAGTGGATATTTTACTAATACAGAAGTTGATATTTACGTCAACATGTGGACTAAATTTCCACTTAATAACCGTCAACCGTCAAAGGTACCACGCCATAGACGCCATCTTAAACAGGGTAGCGAAATAAAATATTTTTTGTCTTAGTTAAACAGGGTCGGGGATCGAAAGCCCCGGCGGAACTATCCTTGAGAGTCCCTCCCCTCCCCCTCTCCCCCGCTTCCAGTTCCTTCCCTTTTGACCTCTTTCGAATCATAATCAAATCATCCATGAAAGTCACGCGTGTGATCACACGCTACATGCCTCAGAACCAGACGACGCCACTTAGCATGATGGCTCGAACACTTTTGATTCTCGCAGTTTTAATAGCTGTTGTGTACTTCTTACTTGTAAAATATCAGGATGCAGATTTGGTGCTCATGATTTACGAAGTAATAGGTGAAAATCCTGCTGTAGCTTTGCGAGGCAAAGTTGTGTGGATCACGGGAGCTTCTAGCGGTATCGGTGAATATTTAGCCAGGGGCACCCAACGACGATTTTCGAAAGAATATCTGTTCGGAAGACGATTTTAGATCTAGAATTTTCGGATCATTTGTTGTAAAATTTCTTGCTTGCCTGCCTCTCCTATGATTTTCGAACATCAAAAAAAGGGTATAATTGCCTATTTTTTACGGATTTTTACCCTAAAAAGGTCACCTAGAATTTTCGGGAGCCTTTTTTCGGGCTGAAATTTTCGAAAAGGTAAGTTTTGACCCCTATAATTTTCGGATCACTAGGCTTTCAGCTAGGAAATCCGAACAGATGAAAAATTTTTAGGGGATAAAAATATGCCTATATCTACCGTTTAAATACTAAAATACTTTTAAGAGTGCTATGTTTAAGTGATTTTCAACTATATTCTCGTTGGGTGCCCCTGTTTAGCTTACGAACTGGCTAAATGTGGCTGTAAGTTGGTGCTTTCTGCACGAAGAAAAGTTGAATTAGAGAGAGTCAAGAAAAACTGTGCAGGTAGGACCAACACCTGATAAAATAAATATGAATGTAAGTCTTTGGTGATGGTGGTTAAAATAGACCAACTAGGTAAGATTAATTTATACGTAAGCGAGGCCAGACTGTGCAAGTCATGTGAAAATAACCACCTGAATCACGCGAGCCATGTGAGTCACGCGAGCCACGCAGAAGCTATAACTCGACCCAGGCGTCTCTTATCATTTGTACGCGATTGCGAATCGTTTGCGAGACACAAAGGAGCATAGTGTCTTGATCTGCGAAGATTGTAAGCCTGGTTTTCATATGTCGGGGAAAATCCCAGACGATCGGGGAATGAAAACTCGAAATCGTAGATATCTCGGATCGTCTGGGATGGACAGAGACAAATCTGAAGAATTGGGAAAGACTTCCGGCGATTATCCAACATATTGACAAAATCTGGGACGGTCGGTAGAAAATGAAATACCCGATCGTCTGGGAATTCCCGACACAGGTAAACAAGGCTTTAGACGCCACGATGGCGACGAGAACGAGAGAAAAAGCAATAGGTTGAATAGGCAAAACAAGAAAGCTGCACGTACATCACGCTTTTTTTTTCAATTACATTTCTTTGCCGTCACTACACGATTTCGAACGTTTTATGGGGGACGCAAACACGTGACGACGAAATTTTTTTCTCTCTCTGAACTTGAATGTGGTTGTCAGGAATTCGGCTCCAAAAGAGTTCGCTTGCATTTGACAAAGAACACGAGTTGAAATAATCCGGATAGAGATTGAAAGAACGCAAATTCACTTTTTAAGTGACGTTTTCGTTGCCGTCGCCTAAAATCACAATTTTAACAAATTCTCCAATCTGACTGGGCTATGAGCAGCCCTGGGTGAACCATCGTGTACGCGCTCTTGAGTCTATAAATGTTTCGTAAGTTATTCACTTATTTTACGTCTCGCAAAAAGTCTCGGAAGATCTTGTGTTGTAACCTGTCAAATTTTCAAAAATCCTTAAATGATTTCTGCCTTACTTCGTGTCTATCGCGATCGCTTATTTTGGGGATATTTGAGTCTCCAGCACCCAGCGTTAGAAGGCCGTGCTTTGGCCTGTGGCGGAGGAGGCAGAAATGATCACATTACAGTTGGTATCAGGCGCGGATCTACAATAAATACTGACCGATTTCCTACTTTTATGGAGGTCTGGCAGCATGCTCCCCCGGGACGTTTTTTGGATTTTAACTCCTCAGAATCTCCTCTCTAGGGTTTATGAGTCATTTAGACAGGATATTTTCTGACTCTCCAAACCATTCTCCAGATTTCAGTGGGAAAGTTAAAAGTTTTTGCTAATATTTATTGTGAAAAATCTGACCGATTTCCGTAAAACGGTGGATCCGCGCCTGGGTATTAAAAACTGAATCATTGGATAATGCAATTCTAGAGCTCTGGCTACCATCCTCTCAAAATATGGTAACTGTACGCGTCTGCTCAAAATTAAAAACAAGCTGAAAATCGGTTGTTTTGACAAATAAAGTCGGGAAGATTTCTCGATATTTTGCGGGCGTTTTTGATAAAACAATTATTCCACTCGAGGTTGCTGGATATGAGATAATCTCCTTATGACGCGCATGTCCATTACCTCACACGCACGAACTGCATTAATCATACGTTTTTATTTATTCTTGTTTATTTCTTTATTTTGCCACTCATGTCTATCTTATATCAAAATTTTCTGAAAGGTTAAAGTAGACTAGTAACAGGAAGACCTCTTCAAGAGATAAACAATCTTTGACGAGGAATTCAGCGACATAAATATTCTACTTGCAAGCGAATGGATTATTATCTACGTACTGAGCTCGATCTTTATACTGTCTTTTCCCAACGAAACAGCAATTTCACTTGCCCTTGATCCATCGTTTAATGAAGATCAAGATATTCTAGTTCTTCCTCTGGACTTGCTGAAATATGACACCCATGCAAAATTGGCTCAAGATGTCCTCAAGCATTTTGGAAAGGTAACGGGAAACAAGAAATAGCAGGGGCACCCAACGAGAATATAGTTCAAAACCACTTAAACATAGAATTGTTAAACGTATTTTAGTATTTAAACGGTAGATATAGGCATATTTCTATCCCCTGGAAATTTTTCATCTGTTCGGATTTCCTAGCTGAAAGTCAAGTGATCCGAAAATTATAGGGATCAAAACTTATCTTTTCGAAAATTTTAGCCAGAAAAAAGGCTCCCGAAAATTCTAGGTGACCTTTTTAGGGTAAAAATCCGTTAAAAATAGGCAATTATACCTTTTTTTAGATGTCCGAAAATCCTAGGAGAGGCAGGCAAGCAAGAAATTTTACAACAAATGTTCCGAAAATTCTAGATCTCAAATCGAACAGATATTTTTCCGAAAATTGTCGTTGGGTGCCCCTGAAATAGGCTTGTAATAATGGCTGATCAATATAGTGCACTAATATTATGACCAGTCAAGGGTACTGACAGTTATTAAAGCTCATTACAAGGACCTATGAGTATTAAAGGGAACCTCCACTCTTACTACAGAATAAGTTTAAATCGAATAAAATTATGTTGATAAACAAATTTGTTCGACATTTGTCCTTAAAAAGAGTGTCGCTTATCGCTTATTTTCACTTTCAAATTTCGCGGGCGCCGCCATCTTGAATAATTGCCACACCCTTCTGAGGTTTTCTTTGACAATAAAACATCAGCACCTGACGTTTTCAGTAGCTCTTCGTTTATCCCCCGCACGCATTTTGAGACAAGTTTAGTGATGATCAGTTTCTATGGCTATGGTGCGAGATATGACGTCATAAGTAGCAGGTGGTCAAGCCATTTTTGGGTGAAAATGCATGTTTTTTCAACTTCTTTCAACAACTTAAAAGTAAAGATTAGGGATGAAATGATGCGAAGTGCTTATTTATGTGTTATTTTATAGGTCAACCGCAAAAAATTACCATTTCTTGCGGTTTTAGCCTGATTTCCAATTCTTGGTAAAATCCACGATAACAAACATTGTTGGTGACGTCACAGGCCTCCAGTAGCGTCACCACCCATAAAATATGCCTCATCTTGTTGAGAAGATCAAAGGCTTTCCACTGAAGGCAAAATCGCTTCCAAATACAGCAACATATCAAAAACTCTAGGAACGGGTTCCATGAACAACCACCCCCCCTTCCTTGTACCGCGGTGGGGGTATGAATATTCGTGTACGTCCGAGGGTTAAGTCTGATCGATGTTTAGCAGATATTCTTCAAATAGCAGTTGAATAGCCGTTGAAATGTATTTTTGCTGTTCTTGCTGTGTGTTTAGGTAGAAGTTTATCCCGTCGTAAAACGTGTGAAATTTTCTGCCATTTTCTCCAGCTCTATATAAAAAAAACTCACGAACTAACACAACCTCAGATTCCCATAACCAGGGTTTCTCGGTTGCTGTCCCTTTTTTGGGCGATAGCCTGAAAGTTTGACGTCATTTTACCGGATATCATGAAGAATTATATTAGGTAAGGCCTTTGAGCAAGTAAAGAAACGGAGCAATATTTTGAATGAATAATTTTATGAAAATTAGCTATCTCTCTTAAGTTAACAAACAATTATAGTACAGTCAATATCAAGTTCTTTCCCTCTGATATGTTTCTTCACCTGATCTTTCTTTTCTTGCAGGTTGATATTTTAGTTAATAATGGTGGGCGGACACAGATTAGTTTGATAAGAAAGACTTCCTTGGACGTCGACAGAGCTATTCTGGGTTTAAATACTGTTGGCACTATTTCCTTGACCAAAGCGATTCTTCCCCACATGATCAAACGCCGTGAAGGACAGATTGTCATTGTGAGCAGCACTGTTGGAAAGTTTGGTAATCTTGCTTTCAATCCGTACATTAACTCATATTAAATACCTCTAGAGCTGAATTCCATTCTCACGCTAAATTTAATATCATGCAGCTTGTGTTGTTAAAATTATTTAATTTTTTACAATTTTTTCCCGCAGGGTATCCTTATCTCAGTACATACTGCGCAAGTAAACATGCATTGCACGTACGTATTCGTCTGGTAACATTATTTACTTTTTTCATCGATATGCTTGCGCCCAAATGGACCTAAGCCCTATACGTAAATTTCCACGTTTTTTCCTCTCGCGACCTTCGTATCAACCCTAGGTTTTGAACTTAGTATTTATATGCCATGCCGTCATCCGGATCGCTCTAATACGCGTTCATGTCCCAAGAGGTCTATTAAGAATTTCTTTCTTTGCCCTCCTCCCTCCCCTCATGTGCCACAGAGATGTAGCATAGCAATGAAAATTGTTTTACTGTTAATTTTGTATGTTTATGCTTCCTGTTCAGCCTGATTTTGCAGACATCACGGTAGTTGTATTTAGTGATGATTAAAATGTCACACTCGTTCTAATTACTATAAAATTGAATGTATATGAATATAATTAAGTATGAGGAGCCCAATTTTCTACAAGCTATTTAGCTTCTATTGGGCTTCCTCGCCTGACTCTCTATCTATTACAAAAGTGAAGTCACTTAATATTACTTTGCTTTTGAACCTTTTTTTTTAGCTTTTCCTGACTTGTATATTGTGCAGTCTTAATAATAATAAATATATATTTTTCATTTTCTCTTTCTGTAATATTTATTTTATGTGGCAAAATGTAAGTAAATAAAAATAAATGGTTCAAGTTAAATTACTACAGAGCTAAAAAAAAAGGCCCCTTTATATTTTGGTAATTTTTGAAAGAGCTGCAAAGTTACAGAATTGTGCAACCCGGTTGTCTCTTTCGTACATATGGATACGTTTCATCCAAAACAAAAATCTTAAAGTTCATGGAAATTCAGTCATGAACCGCTGTTTCCAAAGCACCCCTTATTTATTGTCTAGGAAAAATACAGCAATGATTTCCTGTTGAAATCAGTGATATTAAGTCTCTGTCCAGACTATATATTAGTTAGCTATACATAGAAACACTTCTGAAGACAAAACCACAGAAATCGCGCCGATCTCACTGTTATTATGGATCCCTATCCGGTATGATTTTGTGGTGGCGCAAAGACTATCCGGCATAGCTAGTGTGAACATATCCTAATTTCTTCACCAGGGTTACTTTGACACAGCGCGCCTTGAATTGATGGAGTACAACGTTGGAGTCCAGATCATCTGTCCAGGACCTGTCATGTCGGACGTATTCAAGAATGCTTTTACTAAAGACATTAACAGGGTAATAGCGTTTTGTTACTAGAGAGCTTTAGATTCGGTGACGAGGCCGACTATGATAGCAAGTTTTCGCGTGTTCTCTAGAAATAGAAACCCCGGAATGCTTTATTGCAGAGCTTTTCTTCATCACAACAAACGTTGGTCCTCTTATTTCTATCTGGTTTATTGAAGGAAGTAAAGCTCTTGCGCGATCGCTAAATGATATAATTTCTCGCATTTGATAACTTATTTTCGTCACTACGACATTGTTGCTAATCCGTAGTAAAATGGCAACGGCTATCGCGTTTTCCCCAGCTGGTTCACGCGTTCACTACTTTGTACTGGCACAATCTCGTTCTCGTAGTCGTCTTCGCCTTCAAATTTAGAGCTCTCTAATACAAGATGTTAAATACATGTATATACACCTCATTAACTATCATTTTTATGTAGACTGTCTTACTTCTAGGCTGAAGGATAAAATTCATATACAGTTAATTAAAGTGTCTGCTTAGTAAAGACAACAAGAGGAATGGGCCCAAATGTGCTCAATACAGAAGTGATGGTATTGAAAATCAACAGAGTTGTCCGGCAGGGTGCTAAGCCCCTCTCCCCCTCCCCCCACTTATAAGAACCGCTCATTAAAGGCCAATCAACCTGTAAACAAAAAAGACATCCCCTTTTAAGCCCCGCCCCCTCCCTTTTAGGGTATAAGTCACCCTCTAGCCTGCATCGAGATGAATTGGATGTTTTACGTCGTTTTAAAGCCAAAAAAAGCGAGTAAATTCAAAAAGTATCTGATTAGCACTACTATGTACCTTATAACAACAGTCCGGAACAATAATTATTTTCCTAATCTATTCTGTTTAGCGAAGTATCATCAGACAAAATTTACCTCCGCATACAATATTATTTGTTTGTATTTCAGCCTCTTGATTCATTGGTATTGTCAAATGTTATGAAGAGTTTGCCATTAATGTCAACTGAACGCTGTGCAAAGTTGATGGCAGTAAGCATGGCAAACAATTTGGATGAAGTCTGGATAGCAAACCATTCAGCTCTTGTACTACCTTATTTAAGCCAGTACTTTCCAAACTTCTTCAGATGGTATGTTTGACTTTGTGTTTAGCGACAATAGGAAGCCTAAGCAATCAAGACGATGGTAGCAACGAGAACGTGAAAAAACATATATATGTATATATCTGTCTGGATTTCATGCAAGCTGCCTGTACTGAGTCTCTAGACGGTCAAGTCCAAGGAACCATTACTCACCCTCCCCACCCATGAAGCTTATGACTAGTCAATCACTTCCCTCAAGCTCTGCTCTGCTCTGATTTTAGTGTTATGATTATGAGTCACCGCGTTGATTTGGCTGGCCTAGGCCACAGGAAAAATTCTCTGACTTTGCACTGCTTTCTCAGACATAAAACTCTAGTCAAAGTGACAAAATCTCTCCTCCCTACCCCCCTGGTTTTCACGCAAAACAAGGAAGCCACCCACCCACGAATAGGCCTGGGCTCTCAGCTGACACCTAGCAAGACGGCAAGCTTCCTGGTTTTTTTGCGGCTACACTGGCTTGAACACGGGCGAAGCCCTTGTTCAAGCGAAAACTTAGCGGGCACCTTTTAGAAAAATTACACGGATATATATGTGGCATTTAATAAGCAAAAAACAGAACTGTACGTGCATCACCCGTCTTGGCACAGTCGAACCTTCACAACGGCCACTTTATTTTGTCCCGCGGCTGACTGTCCATACATTTACTCTTATTTAAACCTCTTTACAACGGCAACGGCCACTAACACATTTTCCCAACTGCCAAAATAACCTCTCGACAAAAGACAGTTTTTTCCAGCGGCTGATCAACCTCGTCCCCAGGGCTTTTCCCTTAAAAAATGGGTGGGGCGTCCCACCCATTTTTTAAGGGAAAAGCCCTGGGGACGAGGTTGGCGACTGATGAAAAAGTCAAGAATGGTCACGAATTGGTACGTTTATGATCAATCGCGCGGTAATCGTACTTTGATTTTGCTTCATTTATACTGCTGCAGTAAGCAAAAATTGTCTACGATACTTATAGCGAATGTTGGGAACCTTGCTCGTTTTGTCACGTTAAAATATTGATTCGATTTCAAGACATAATTCAAAAGCTTTCTGTGCATTCTATCTATATACATTATATACCATTGGATTACCATGATTATGGGACACAGTAAGCATGAACTTAACACAAAAAAACGTATACTCTTTGAAAAAAAAATTGTCATGTAACACCCCTACCTCCGAATAACGGCCACTTTGATTTCGTACATTTCTTTGACGTCCACTGCATGACACTACTCGGCGACGTGAAACGTCCTAAAGCGACGTTTTATGGAGTACATGAACAGAAAACGACGAATTTTCCTCTCCTATTTTGAACTTTGACAGGGAGTATAAGAATTCAATTCCTGGAAAATTCGTCTACACTTAGCAAATTGGGTGAGGCTAAATAAACGCCACCGAGTTTGCAAGAACCAATTTTAACCTCATCAACTCGAACAAGGACAGTTATCGGTCAGTAAATGCCATTAGCCCTAATTCCAGACATGACATTTTAATCCACAATTTTACTTACTTTCTAATAGATTGTTAATAGTAAGCTTACAACATTGACCATATCATTTAGCCCTCCCTCGTATTTTCTGCACTTAGGAATTCGAAGAAGTCTTCGATGAAGGTGACAAGACAGGTGTTTGACCTTCTTGAAGACAAAGCCTGAATTATATATCAATTACGAGGGGTGAAGCGATTTAGTTCAACTGAGGATGGCTGGTATACCACTTCAAACCTTGTAGAGTGTCCATAAAAGCGTTCCTGTAAACAAATTAATTCCCATTTTGGCGATTAAAAATTCGATTGGTCAGTTTCATTCCGAAAAAATTCATTCTTGGTATATTGTATGAACGATCCTTGCTAGAGTGTGGATCGTGATGGGCTATGAGCAGTCTTTTTTTTTTTTGAGTCCGTCGAGCGAAATGCTTTGCCGTGCACTCCCATCACTAAATCTTAAGAAAAACAAAGACCACTCGCTCGCAGTCTAGGATCGTGCATTGGACACCTGAATCTCGCTCGATTTTGCAAACTACAATCATGGCGGCCTGCGTATCTGGCGGAATTATTTTACGCGGGTGCGAGAAATTGGGCGAAGCCGCCATTTTCGCGTCTCTTCCCAATTCTCCTCACGGCCTCGCAGCTCCTCAGTCTGCCAATCTTTTGCTTGTGCTGATGATCCACAGGCTGCTCAGGCTACAATCATAGAATTGAAACATAGACTGGTTTCTGTGAACTTCGTGGCTACAGTTTCCCCTACCTTGTGCTTCCGCCAGTGGCCTGCTAGCAGGCGTCGGAAGAAGAGGGCAAGGCAGCGAAAAGGAGAGATAAGATTCGCGGTTTTTTCCCACCTCTCAGTTTCCCTATTCGCTCCTGCCACGCAGGTTACTCCCAGCCCCTTGTTCGCTTTCTCCCCAGACTCCCTCACCACTCGGCGATCAGCAACTCCACGCAGGATTGGACCTAACTGTAAACAACTAAAGATCATAAAGGGCATTCCACCGAATAATTGACTTGTATTAAAGTGATTTCTTCACCATATCAATGCAAACTGCAAGCAAAGCAGTGTAATTATTACTCTTCAAAATCTTCTCTACTATTTTTTTTTTACCATATACGTTGCCTGAGAACAGAAAAAGTCCCCGACGGAATTCGTTTATCGAATATTAGTCACCTTCGACATGTTTGGTTGGTGCACTTATCCACGTTTCATCCACCGAAAGAAAACTATCTTTATATTGGCTTTAGTTACATCGGCTTTAATAGTACTGACTCTGTTTACTTTTCCACGGGGAACGCCAGTGATTTCAGACATGTCTTTGTACGGTGCGAAAGACTCCGACTTCAAACCTGTCCCTTACACAAGATTAGCTCCATGCGAGCGAAAACCTGAAGGGGATATCAACTGCCCTGACATTCGTCGCAATGGAATCACACGGCTTCGACAAGCTCAGCTCGTGCTAACCAGAATTCTAAGAATCTTTGATCTTATAGCTAAAAAGCATTGCATACGATACTGGTTGTACAGAGGGACTTTACTAGGCGCTGCACGTCATAATGGACACGTCTCTTTCGACAACGACATAGATATATGTATTCCTAAAGAAGACTATGAGAAGTTTGTTATTACGGCGTCAAAAGAACTTCCTGAGGATATATTTTTTCAAACGGAAGAAACGGACTGCCACTGGGAAATTCTACCTTTTAGCGGCTTGCTCGGAAAATTGCGGGACATGCGGAGTTGCTATGGCTGTGGCAGGGCTGGTAGCTGTAAACACAAAAATGGCTTACAATTAGACATGTTCGTTGTTGAAATGGACTCTAGTGGTAATTTCTTAGAACTAGTCTCTCACTCAAATTTGTTTCGTCGAAGATATATTTACGGCCCTTATGTAAGAAAACCGAGCGATATTTTTCCATTGGCAGAATTGAATTTCGACGGCTTTCCTCTCCAGCTCCGCGAGAGTGGAAGAAAATTTTGCACTCACACTACGGCGATTTTATGGTGATACCAACAAATAAACCAGTCGGACATTTAAATTCAGATCCGTTTCACAGTTGTGACGAGATGCAATGAGGCGTATACAGAAATGATATACCGTAAACTACTGCTTGTCAATCCTTATAAGCCCTAGGCTTATATATCTTGGTTAGAGGTTTTAGGAGCGTTAATAAATGGAGGAGCTTACAGTGACTTATAATAAGAAACTCTGAGGGAAAGCGCTAGCTGATCCTACCCGAAGCTAAGCCACTTATTCGAAACTGGAAGCCTCTCTTACAGCGGGGCCATGTTATGGAATAACTTGCCCAAAAGGTTCTGTTGAACGAAGTATCAAGAAGGTAGCTGATATTCATATCGGATTCCCACACGGCAATCATGTAAAGCAGTTGTAATTAGTTTTAGCTTTACATACATACAGTGGCCGTAGATATATGTATTCCTAAAGCAGACTATGAGAGGTTTGTTAAATACGGCGTCAAATTTATTCGGCCAATATTTCGACTAGACAAAACTAGTCATCATCAGGGGCTACAAAAGCTAAGTGAGAATAGAGTAACTCGGTTGGTCGAAGTACTGGGCAAATACTGAACTTGTAAATTACCAACCCTTAGCTGTCAGATCAGCCTTGCCTTCAATTTTAAGTGTTATTTTATATTGCTGATCCTGATCTACAGCAAGATACGGCTTTCCCTCGCCGCTGTTCGGTCTAAAGTGGTACGGGCTTACAAACTGTGAGTTTAAAACCAGCAGCACGGTATGAAATAGCGTCATAGTATATTTTCACACAAGAAATTAAAATAAGAAGGAAAGCAACAACGGCTATGAACATGTTGGAATGCAAAAAGGTGCTATTGATTGGTCCATGAGTTTAAAATACATTTTATCGCGTACACGGCCTTTCTGTAGGATTATGCATTCTAATATATTCTATATACAGTTGGGACCAGCGGTTGCTATAGTCACTTTAGTGCCAGCAGTTACTTAAGTTCCAGGCCCTCGCTCCCGCCTTTAAGTTTAACACTTGTAACTGTCATTCAAGGCTTAGCTAAACGTTCGACCCGTTTCAAACTTTGCGCAACAACATCATGATGCAACAAGGTGTGCAAACGGACACAAACTGTAACGTCCAACAATGTTGGCAGCGTGGCTGGACTTGCAATTCGGAGACCCCTAGTTCAAGTCCCGCACTGACCGCTTGCTGGATTTGTGCCGTTCAAATCCAGATCTGCCACGCTTGTAAATAGCTAGCTGGTTTGTCTCCGGCCAGTTGGGATTCTTAACCTTGTTAAGTGTGATTTGAATTATTTGTTTCAGGCATTTTCTCGGCCCCACTAGCAGGGTAACTAGCAGAATTATTATTATTTTTGTTGGCCAACAATGCTGCGTCCATTTGAGTGTGTTTTAGACTGGCTAACACCATCATCCATGGACGCATTCGTGGCCTGGTAACAGAGGGCGTAGTAGGCCCCAGAAAAGCTGAATGGCAGACAACTGCGAATTAACACATAGCTTCACAAGCTATTAGA